GGATATAGGTTAGCAACTGTAAAATTACTTTATGGGTATATATGGGTATGAAATTACTTTATGGGTATAAACGGTTAACAAATGAATAAAACTACTGTAGATTATGAGAGCCTGGTTTCTTGCCTTTGGAGAACAAAGTTACAAAGCAAAGGGAAAAGGGGAGAAAGAATGCTGTGGTACTAGATGGGGATTAGAGGTATCGATATGAAATTATATTTCCATTATATATACAGATAGATACAGAAATAAATATATATGCAAGGGTTAATATACTACATATATTTTCAAACTGTCTGCTGAGAGGACCATAACACCTTAGTTAACAATAAGCACATATAGCACCCAGGTCTTGGTTTCTAAGTACCTTTCTCCAATAAAGGGAACTTGAATTCCTTGGAGGAGTAGTTGATTCTAGGGCTGGGGCAGGGAAAATACAAGATGGGCCTGGAGTCTCTGATAGTGCAAATGCTCAAAAGAGTAAGCACTTTGAAAGTGCACAAGTGCCAACCTGAAAGAGTCCTTACTGCCAAAGCTGGAACAAAACAAACTACTGTAGTATTGGATTATAAACCACTGAAAAAAATTAATAGCTATGAGTTCATATGAAACTCGATTAGTTAAGTAAATAAATGTGAGTGAAGAAACAGCTCTTGGGACTTCCCTGGTGGTGCAGTGGTTAAGACTCCGCCTGCCAACGCATGGGACACGGGTTCAATCCCTGGTCCGGGAAGATTCCACATGTTGCGGAGCAACTAAGCCCGTGTGCCACAACTACTGAGCCTGCGCTCTAGAGCCCGCGTGCCTAGAGCCCGTGCTCCACAACAAGAGAAGCCACTGCAATGAGAAGCCCACGCACTACAACGAAGAGGAGCCCCCGCTTGCCACAAAAAGAGAAGGCCCGCGCGCAGCAACAAAGAAAAATACGTAAATAAATAAATAATAGAAAAAAGAAACAGCTCTTACAGAATATTTCCAATCAATAAATGAAGGAATGATGAATGAATGATGATAGAAAATCACCATTGGGACACCACAGTAATAACTGTGCAGGCAAGATCTACCAATGGATGCTAAGATTAGTGGGTGGAAGTTTAAAGAGAAACAGGAAATTTGCATAGTATCAAACTGGAGAAACCCAGCTGACACCACAAGTAATCGAGATTAACAGCACCTGTAATAAGACATGTGCCTTTCGATTTGACACACAGAGAAGGGCACATAACTTCAATGGTATTCTTGTCAAAAATGAATAAGCTGGGCTTCCCTGGTGGCGCAGTGCTTGAGAGTCCGCCTGCCGATGCAGGAGACGCGGGTTCGTGCCCCGTTTCGGGAAGATCCCACATGCCGCGGAGCGGCTGGGCCCGTGAGCCATGGCCACTGAGCCTGCGCGTCCGGAGCCTGTGCTCCCCAAATGGGAGAGGCCACAACAGTGAGAGGCCCGCATAACGCAAGAAAAAAAAAAAAAAATGAATAAGCTTTATGTAATCATGAGAAAATAGAAAAATCACACCGAGGGATATTTTACAAAATAACTGGCCAGTCCTTTTCAAGTGTCAAGGTCATGAAAGGCAAAGAAAGCCTCAGGAACTAACAGAGTCTGGAGAAGATGAAGAAGACATGACAACTAAATGCAATGTGTGATCCTGGAATAGATCCTAGAACAGAAAAAAGGACATTAGTGGCAAAACTGGTAAAATCCAGTCTGTAGTTTATAGTACTGTACCACTTTTAATTTCTAAGTTTTGATAACTATAGTGTGGTTACACAAGATGTTAACATTAGGGAAAGCTGAGTGAAGAGTACCTGGGAACTCTCAGTGCTAGTTTTGCAACTTTTCTGTAAGTCTGAAATTACTTGAAAATGACAAGTTAAAAAATTGTACCCAATGACTACATCTCTTTAAGAATTAAATTCCAAGTTCCATGTGATCTGGTTCCCAGGTATCACTATGACCTCGTCTCCCACACTTTGCCCACTCTTCTTGCTCCAACTACACTGGGCTCTTTGTCAACCACACAAAAGAACTAGCACGTGACCACCTCAATGACCACCTAAGGGCCTCGTACTCACTATTCCTTTGCCTGAAACATTCTTCCCCAACTTACCTATGTGGCTGTCTCCCATACTTCCTTAAGGTAGATGCCTGACTATCACATTATCAGAGAGGTCTTCCTTAATTTTCCTATGTAAAATGTCCTGTTCCCCCATCATGCTCTACCTCCCCCTATTTTATTTTCCTTCACAGTAGGTATCACCATCCGGCATACTATGTTTATTTATTATCAGTCCCCACCATTATATTGTAACCTCTGTGAGAGTAGGGACTTTGTACATTTTGTTCAGTGCTGTACCTCCAGTATCTAGAAGAGCAATTGTTACATACCATGTGTTCAATAAATTTGATGAATGAGTGACTCATCTCAAAGCATCGAGTCCTCCAATAAGCTTTACTTGTTCCTACCTTACCCTAAACTGTCAGATGCTGCTCTCTTTTCTACTCTCAGGGTATCCTATGCAGAGTTATTTACCTGAATTTCTCTTTCACTGCAAGCAAAAAGATATAGCAGTGTCAGTTCTGTTTTAGATTTTTTTTATGACAAGTGAAAAAGAATCAAGATAAAAGGGAAATATTCCATTATGAAGAAGAACCAAATAATGACTCATTAAAAAGAAAATGGAATACTAGTCATTTCACAGAGGACTACACATTATTTTGCATCAATCTGACTGTTAAAAATATTCATCATGCTCAAAATAATTTTAGTTATTAATGAGAATATTCTGAAGAAATCAATGTCTTTAAACATCTCTCCATGGAAGAGTAGTAACTGAACTAAATTTAAAGAAAATCTTACAGAGCTCCTATTCCCACTGCCTTAAAACTATAATTCATCTAAGAAAAATGATTTTTATATCAAGTGTCAACAACTACTTCAACCTTTTATGTAACATACTAGCAGAACACTTCAAAATTCCGCTAGAATAATGTGAATATAATAATAATAATTTCTAGGTCAGTGGCTCTCAAACTTTAGTTTGTATCAGTATCACCTAAAGAACTTGTTAAAGCACAGGTTTTGGGGCCCCATCATTCGGTAGGTCTGGGGTGGGGACTGAGAATTTACATTTAGAACAAGTCTTTAGTGGTGCTTATGTTGCTGCTTTAGAGACCACACTTTGAGAACTACTTACTGCTCTGGGCAAAATTTCTGTGATCTATTCAGTGACATTTAAACTAAAACAGTACAGTAAAATCTACATAACATACTGCCGCTTTAGTATTTAACAAATGGAGAATCATCAGGCTCCTACTGTACCTCACTACCTGGACACATAAGCAGATGGAAGACTGACTGTTTCAGATGGATCTCCCGCACTTGTCTGTTGACAGTGTTAATGGATTATGGGGAAAGTTTCTCTTCAGTAGCCTGTAGGAACAGGTCCAACCACTGATCGCTTCTGATTTATATACCCTTTTTGCATGGGGCATGTCAAATGACAAATATATTGCATTAACTAGATTGTCCATAAATTATAATGAGTATCAGGTAGTAGCAACAGTATTAACAGAGCTCAAGATCCAGGTCAAAAGTATTTAACAGTGGTCAAAAAAGGAAAAGTATTAACAGCTGTTTTCATGGTATAAAAGATAAATACAGAAATTAAATACCAACGTGGCTGAAATAAGAAAAAAAGAAAAAAAAGCAAGATCATGTGGAAATTCAGTATAGAATCATCTGTATGACTTTCACAGGATAAAAGGAATAATTATGATGCATATTCAAGCATTAAAAGTGCTGAAGGGCTTCCCTGGTGGCGCAGTGGTTGAGAGTCTGCCTGCCGATGCAGGGGATGCGGGTTCGTGCCCTGGTCTGGGAAGAGCCCACATGCTGCGGAGCGGGTGGGCCCGTGAGCCATGGCCGCTGAGCCTGTGCGTCCGGAGCCTGTGCTCCGCAACAGGAGAGGCCACAACAGTGAGAGGCCCGCATACCGCAAAAAAAAAAAAAAAAAAAAAAAGTACTGAAAAGCAACAGGTGAAAATGCCAGAATTGGCTCAGTTTACCAAGGAGAGTAGCATCCAATAGTCATTGCTACTGCAGAAACAGAATAATTTCTTAAAGAAAAAAAACTAGCATCAATGGAGGCCAGACATCAGAAATAGCAAGAGATCAAAGATACTCTTTCAACTTCTCAACTTTTGTTTAAAATGCACATGGGATCTAGAATACTCTGAATAAAGATATCAGTGAAAAAATGTTAATAATACTGGCCCTGTAGCTTATGACAATGAAGCACTCATTTGATTAACATGAGAGTTGTGATTCTACAGTTAAATTAAATATTTTTAAAATAAGTGAAATTACTTCATTTTAAAACATCAAACAATTTTTAAAATTCTGCATAGAGTACTTAAAAGACAATTACTATACAGGGTATAAAAATTTTATAGACAGAGAAAATTGCAAGTTAAGGTATAAATACAATGGTACATACTCTCAAAAGTTCTATGAAAGCAATACTTCAATGTAGAAACTGTCCCTCACTCTAGTTTCCTACCAAGGTAGTAAAGTGAGGCATTCTAATCATATTTGTGAAAAGAATGTAAAAATCACAGGAAGGAATGGTAGGCTTGATCTGTTATATTTAAGAGTACTGCTATGACATACTTGAGCACACGGTTTGCTTTAGAGATTCCTTATACCATTCCTTCAAATAAATAATATATATTATAATGGAATATTTCATATAATGGTAAAGTTAAAATCTCTTTTGGTATCAAAAAAAGTAATGTGTAAGAGTCTAGAAAAATCTGAAAATTAAAACATTGAATTTTAGAATTTAAAGACTCCATCAGCAATTGGTTGTCTTTGTGACAATTATTAAAGAGGAACCAAACTAGATTTCTGTGAGACAGTAAAGAGAAAACATTTAGTCCTCGTTCCCTGGCTTAAAAGAAAACATTTCCAACTCAGTATATATTAGCAACATAAGGAGGTTACCTGACTACTAGTTTCACTTATGGCTTCTAGGAGTTTTTCAACTGCCGCTTGTAGTCGAGAGCTAATGTTCAGCATAAGTTCTTCATTTTCAGGGTCTATTTCATTTCCAGTAAAGCCACTCCTCATGAGCTGCTGTGACAGCTCCGTTCCTTCCTCAGTTACTTTGGACCACATGCTACTGTCACTCCTTGGTATATCACTTCCAGAATAAGAGGGTTTAGATTCATCTGTAACCAGAATAACACTATTTTAAAGGTATAAATCAATTATAATAATTATAGTAGAAAAAAAAGGTTACAAAATAAAATCAAATTAAAACTTGAAATCATTGGACTATAAGGTATCTTAGTTAACACTGCAACAAAACAAATAAAATAGGCAAATACAGAATGTAATATTATTTGATAACCTACCAGGTATAAGAAGGTGAAGAATAATGCCATGCTAGCTAATAGCGCTTGGCAGAAATTAATATTTTGGATAATTAGTATTTTTTATTTAATAAAAAATTTAAAACACCTTTCAGCAGATATTTACTAAATGCCCATCGCGTAGGGTTTACTAAGTAATGGAGACACATAGGTGGCAAGATTTGGTTCCTATCCGCAAGGACATTACACATGGTGTAATGAAAAACAAATATCTAAACAACAACAACATGAAAAGAAAACGTTGTGCAATGGGATATTCCAGGTGTATGGAATGACAGAAGTGCTTGATTTTGCATGGAGCAGACCCTTTGGTTTCTAAGCACTATACTGGGCAGCATCACCTGCTCGGCTAGACAGTAAAAGGGACTAAAATCTTTTTGCAACTTGCTACTTTTGTAATAGCTATCCTGGGAAAAGGTTAGACTAATAAGCAGTTCTAATTTTAACTATGGACTTGTGTTTCCACACTAGTCTTTTTTCTTATGTAAAGAAAACTGAGTTTACATGGGCAGAAGATAAAGCTTTAGAGGCATTTTCTCTAAACTGAAATAAAAGCATATGTTATTTATCACTGCCAGGGAATACAGTACTTATCTGTGGGCAGCATGCTACAACCGAACAATGAAATTTCCTGAAGAGGAATCACCTATTCTTTTACTACAAGTAGTACATATTTCTTATCAGTAACTGTACAAAGTTAGCAAATTAAAGTCACAAGAAATTGTAATTTCCAAAGTACATGGAATAAACATTCAGTTTGATACAATCACCCAGGAGAATAAGAGCTATTTAAAAAGTCTTGCTAAAGTAGCTGGTGTCATATGGAAGTCTCTCAGTCTCATGTAGTAATGATATCAGATGCGGTTTCAGGTACAAGATCTGAACTCAGCACAATTCAACATTTTATTTATTTATTTCTGGCTGCCTTGGGCCTCCGTTGCTGCGCGTGGGCTTTCTCTAGCTGCAGCAAGCGGGGGCTACTCTTTGTTGTAATGCGTGGCCTTCTCACTGCAGTGGCTTCTCTTGTTGTGGAGCACGGGCTCTAGGCTCCTGGGCTTCAGTAGTTGTGGTGCATGGGCTTAGTTGCTCCGCAGCATGTGGGATCTTTCCGGACCATGGCTCGAACCTGTATACCCTGCATTGACAGGTGGATTCTTAACCACTGTGCCACCAGGGAAGGCCCAGCACAATTCAAGATTCACTAAGCACCTCCTTTGTGTAAGTCACTGGCTGAAGAATCCAAAACTGCATTCTAGAAAATGACATTGTGTGGACCTTTTTTCTTTTTTAAGGTCTTTATTGAATTTGTTACAATATTGCTTCTGTTTTATGTTTTGGTTTTTTGGCCAGTGAGGCATGTGGGATCTTAGCTCCCCGACAGGGATCGAACCCACATCCCCTGCATTGGAAGGCAAAGTCAACCACTGGACCACCAGGGAAGTCCCTAGAGAAAATGACTTTAAATGTTTGCTGCTACATAGGTTTATCTAATTCTTAGTGTAGCAGCAAATACAATTTCATTTTGCATTTTTATTTTCAAAACTGAAAAACAACAACTAGACTGGTATTTACTTACATTATTCTACATATTCAAAACTGAATGTCTTGATAATAGGGATTAACAGTTTATAAATATTCATGAGTTCAAAATGATCTTAGAATTCAAAATGAGTTCAGATAAAGTACAGTACAATGCATATTACAAAGCCAGTAAATAAAATTAATGTGGTCTACAAACTAAATGATATTTTTGATGAAATTATGGAAGCAAGAAATATTAGTTTACAACTGGTGTTAAAAAAACTAAAAATACCTATGTAATATAGCACCTTTATCTAAGGAATTAAATGCATTCTAGGGACATTTCCTTTTAACGGATACAGAGAATCTGACAAACCTGAGGAAAGATGATAGTCTGATATGATGGGCAATCAAGGCAGCTTTGTGGTGTGCAAGTATGTGGCAAAGCAAGGATGAGGTAGGTGAGAGAGCAGAAAAAAGGTCGCTAGAAAGTAGGCTGGATCCAAGTTGTGAACTGTCTTAAATTTTTCAGGAACCTGGGTTTTTTTGTTATAAATAATGGGGAAGTAAATCGTTTTTTGAGCAGGAAGATAATATCAAATGTGTGAATCAGGAAGCAAACTGCAGCAATGCAGAGGAAGGGTTGGAGAAAGAGAAGAGTCTGGTTAGAATACTATTTCAATTGCCCAGATAAGAAATGTTAAAGATGGACGGGGGCTGGTCATAGGTTGGAAAAAACTGAATGTATAAGACAAGAGAGAAAGAAAAGTAGTAAAAGATGTCTCTGAGTTTCCAGCTTAGATGATTCTTAGAGGACAGAAGAGTCATTAAGAGAAATACTAAAAAATTAGGAGAAAGTATATAGAGTAAGCATGAAAAATGATTAGTCTGAAGTGTTAATGGGCTATGTGGAGGAGAGAAGTCAACTTCTGGAAATATGGGTCTGTAGAGACTTAGGAGTCACTGGAAAGGTGAGAGTTGAACCTTGGAAGTAGACACATTTGCCTTAGGAGCAATATTTAGTGAGAAGAGGACAAACACGGTTGGAGCATAAGCCAACAGAAGAACCTGTGTAAAAAAAAAAGTCAGATAAAGACAGGAAAGAGATGTTCCAGGAGACAAGAAGAGGATGTTTCAGAAAGAGAGAGACTTCAATAATGTTATTTGTCTAGAAAGTCAAACGGGACAAGGACTGAGAAGATGCTACTGGATGTGACAAACAGGTCACTGCTGTCCTTAGAGAGAACAGCTTTGGTACTACAGAAACAGAAACCAAAGCTGGTGGAAGCAAGAGCTGGTCTAATCTCACATAGAGTTTGTTGCAGTTTACCTTAAGTGCAGAACAAAGCTGAGAAAAAACAATTTTTTTTTAATTATGAAGATATCAGCATGTTTTAGGGTACAGAGAAGGAATCCATGGTGAGGAAAAAACCTGAAGATACTATATATTGCATGGGAGCAAATCTCAAACACAAAATACAAAGGATATATAAAACAAAATGGCTTATAAAAAGCCACTGAAGGGCTTTCCTGGTGGCGCAGTGGTTGAGAGTCCACCTGCTGATGCAGGGGACACGGGTTCGTGCCCTGGTCTGGGAAGATCCCACATGCCACGGGGAGGCTGGGCCCATGAGCCATGGCCACTGAGCCTGCGCGTCCGGAACCTGTGCTCCGCAACGGGAGAGGCCACAGCAGTGAGAGGCCCGCGTACCGCAAAAAAAAAAAAAAAAAAAAAAAAGCACCACTGAATGTTAATTTTTTAAATGGCTAATAAAAAATAGACATTAAAGTACCTAGAAAATATGAAGATGTGAACCAGCTTAATGTATTTTACTCATAACATTTTGAAGATATAAACAAACTAATAAAAATAATCAAATATGTTCCAATGAAGATATTCCAGTGAAATAAAGGAATGAGAACAACATCAAACTTGTACTGTATTTATTATAACTAGTCTTTGGCAAGAAAAAGATAAATTGGCAGGGCAATTTCATAAAATGCCAACAGGAATCTCAGAATGATCAGTTTGGTGAACAGAATCATGATTTCAGATTGGCCAACCACTCAGATCTGCGTCTTAAACATGGTAGATGATGGTTATTCAAAGGGTCTTCAGTCACTTTTTTTATGGATTTTACCATGTTCATTCCATACAGATAGCAACAAGCTTCTCAGTTTAAGCAGGGCGGGTGATAGGATAGAGCATTCCCCTGCCCCAGTGCCCTAAAGATCTCTGGCGTTCCAAATGGAAACCACTGACTCATGTGTGACTCTTACACTTAACCGATGAGTAAACTGAAGTGAGGCCCCAGGAGGCTGAGAGACTTGCTCAAGGTCACAGTGAGCTAGAACAAGGACCTCCTCATACTAATCCAGTATTCTTGCTGTAACAACACACTGCTCCAAAAAAATCTGCAGCAAGTAAGATTTAGTCCCTGGTCTTCTAAGGGGGAGGTAAATGTATTTTACTACTGAACCATCACAGTGTAGACCTAAAGGACCTCTTCTTTCAACACATCCTAGGGGAACTCATTTTTATGAACTAGTCTAATATTCACTCAAGTTCAAGCGATTTCACATTGGCTCAGAATTTCCCTTCAATTTCATAAACTAGGTTGCTCTTACGAGGAAGCAAACATTAGCAAGTCAATTATTTATTTTTTTAGAGAGTTAACAAGTCCACACATGTTTAAACTCTAAACAAGTTCAGACTTGAGGGCTGCAAACAGATTACAAGTGCTACTGCTCACAACAAAAGGTCATATATAAAAATTGAAAAGCAAGAGTTCCTTCATAATCAGATTAAAACTGAGCTTTTTGTTATATTAAATAAGATATAAAAGAAATATTTCAAAAGTTCATTTTAGTTTTTACAATAATACTTTCATTAAAAATCTGAAGAAACATCAGAAAAATTCTTATGTATGGAACATGGTGTCAGTATTTTAGAGACATTATCTTCTTCAGTTTTAAATTATAAATTCTATTAATTCAATATTTCCTTCAAGATGCAAAGTGAATCTAAGTGCCCCCAAATGATACTAGTGATCTTCCTAATTTTGTTACTAAGACTAGCACATCACTGCCAAACACAAAAATATAAAAACTAATTAAATGGAAATTACACATAACACCAGCAAAATTCTTAACTCTGCTTTACTAGTCTTCATACTATATTTCTTAGCAGAGGATTTAATTTTTCCTTTTGTATCTTAATATTATTCTTTCAGTATCTATTAACAGTTAAATAATTAAATATTTATTTCAAAAGGCTTAATTGATTCAAATACATAAAGTGGTATTAAGTAAAACATTAAGTACCATGGTTTTATTTTGCCTTGAATCAGAATTTCAGTGCCTCCTTCACTGGACTGAGAACTGGTGTAAAGCAGAGAGCAAAAAGACACTGTTCAATACAACTGTATAACTGAACTGATTAAATTACTTATAATTGAAAAACTATTATTGGATATCTTAAAATAGGACATAGACATATTTAATCTATACTGGGAGACTTAGATGCATAACCATGCATAAGAAAGGAGGCTAGTAGATCAGATGTCCTTCCAAGTCTGCCTTCTCACAGAAAAGGAATATAACATAATCCTCTATGCTACATGTAAAAGAATGAAATTAGAACACTCCCTAACACCATACACAAAAATAAACTCAAAATGCATTAAAGACCTAAGTGTAAGGCCAGATACTATAAGACTCTCAGAGGAAAAACAGGCGAAACACTCTCTGACATAAATTAAACATAATCACAGCAAGATCCTTTTTGACCCACCTCCTAGAATAATGAAAATAAAAACAAAAATAAACAAATGGGACCATATGAAACTTAAAAGCTTTTGCACAGCAAAGGAAACTATAAACAAGATGAAAAGACAACCCTCAGAATGGGAGAAAATATTTGCAAACGAAGCAACTAACAAAGGATTAATCTCCAAAATATACAAGCAGCTCATGCAGCTCAATATCAAAAAAACAAACAACCCAATCAAAATATGGGCCGAAGAGCTAAATAGACATTTCTCCAAAGAAGACATACAGATGGCCAACAAACACATGAAAAGATGCTCAGCATCACTAATTATTAGAGAAACGCAAATCAAAACTACAATGAGGTTATCACCTCATACCGGTCAGAATGGCCATCATCACAAAATCTACAAACAATAAAAGCTAGAGAGGGTGTGAAGAAAAGGGAAACCTCTTGCACTGTTGGTGGAAATGTAAATTGATACAGCCATTTTGGAGAAACAGTATGGAAGTTCCCTAAAAAAACTAAAAATAGAACTACCATGTGACCCACCAAACCCACTACTGTGCATATACCCAGAGAAAACCATAACTCAAAAAGACACATACACTCCAATGTTCACAGCAGCACTATTTACAATAGCCAGGACACGGAAACAACCTAAATGTCCATCACCAGAGGAACGGAAAAAGAAGATGTGGTACATATATACAACGGAATATTACACAGCCATAAAAAGGAATGAAATTGGGTCATTTGTAGAGATGTGGATGGACCTAGAGTCTGTCATACAGAGTGAAGTGAGAAAGACTATCATATATTAATGCATATATGTGGAATCTGAAAAACTTGGTATACACGATCTTATTTACAAAGCAGAAAAACAGAGACACAGACGTAGAGAACAAATGCATGGATACCAAGAGCAGGGGGCGGAGGGGGGATGAATTGGGAGAGTGGGATTGACATATATACACTACTGATACTATGTACAAAACAGATAACTAATGAGAACCTACTGTACAGCACAGGAACTCTACTCAATGCTCTGTGGTAACCTAAATGGGAAGGAAATCCCAAAAAGAGGGGATATATGTATAGCTGATTTACTTTGCTGTATAGTAGAAACTAACACATTATAAAGCAACTATACTCCAAAAAAATAAAATAAATAAAATAAAAGTAACACAACAACAACAACAAATTACCAATTTATTCCTTTTTATAACTATGGGAACACTGCTCTGAAAGTGAGTTTGCTGTCTTTTAAGATACGTTGATGGGGCTTCCCTGGTGGTGCAGTGGTTAAGAATCCGCCTGCTGGGCTTCCCTGGTGGCGCAGTGGTTGAGAGTCTGCCTGCCGATGCAGGGGACACGGGTTCGTGCCCTGGTCCAGGAAGATCCCACATGCTGCGGAGCGGCTGGGCCCGTGAGCCATGGCCACTGAGCCTGCGCGTCTGGAGCCTGTGCTCTGCAGTGGGAGAGGCCACAACAGTGAGAGGCCCGCGTACTGCAAAAAAAAACCAAAACCAAACAAACAAAAGAACCTGCCTGCCAATGCAGGGGACATGGGTTCGAGTCCTGGTCCGGGAAGATCCCACATGCTGTGGAGCAACTAAGCCCATGTGCCACAACTACTGAGCCCGCACTCTAGAGCCCACGAGCCACAACTACTGAGCCCGTGTGCCACAACTACTGAAGCCCGTGTGCCTAGAGCCCATGCTCTGCAACAAGAGAAGCCACCACAATGAGAAGCCCGTACACTGCAATAAAGAGTAGCCCCCACTCTCTACAACTAGAGAAAGCCTGCGCACAGTAACGAAGACCCAACACAGCCAAAAATAAACAAATAAATAAATAAATTTATTTAAAAAAAAAAAAAGATATGTTGTTTGCCGAATACTTCAGCAACCACTTGGAGAAGTGTCTAGGAGAACTGCTAACAAAAAAAGCACAAAATATTCTTGTAATGTACAGAACATTCCTCAGAGTGTCTTTTGAATATGGTGTAGGTCTTACCTGTAGCACAGCAAAATGCCCCCTTTCCCAAATGGTTAAGTGAAACTAGTTTATGAGGTAATTGTTTTTTTTTTTTTTTTTTTTTCTCT